CAGTCACCTGAGGAAGCCTGGGGGGGGGTAACAACAGCGGCCTGCTTGCAAGCATGTCCCGTTTCCATCCATCTCTACCAGCCGGGTTAAAGCAGTCCAGAGGGTCTCCTGGATGGTCAGGCTTGAGGGAAAAGGGGAGACGGCAGCCGAGGGAAGGGCCCCCGGTTGTCGCAGGCAGGCGGCCCTCTCGGGGGGGGGTGTGTTAACCGCCAAACAGCGGGAGCAGCCGACCCACAGCAATGTGGCATCTTCTGCTTGCAAAATAGGAGGGACGCTCCTGCCTGTTGAAGAGGGGCACGACCAGCCCCCCCCCCATTTCCACAAGCTGGCCTTGGCAAGCCACTCTCTCCAGAGAGGCTCCGAAACAGCATCTCCATCGGGGACCTCAAGAGAGGATGTGCGAGAGCTGCAGCGGGAAAATGCAGTCCTGCCACCCCAGTCAAGGAGGCCGACGAGCCTCTCCCGATTCAGCCGGACCAAGGGCACTCCCACTTGCCCAGGGGTGGCACCGTTTCGCCCGGGGTCTGGCCAGGGGCGGGCCTGGGCTCCTGGCTCGGCACCGCCTTGGGCCGCCTGAGGCTGCCCTCCTGAGCTCTGAAGGACCAACTGCTCCTTGATGAGGTGGCCTTTCCTAGGAGAAACCAGGTGCTCGCAGAGGGAGGCTCTGCCCATAGAAGGTCACGGGTTCAAAGCCTGGTGGCTCTACTGATTCCCACCTTGAAGCCACGTCTACCAGGGTGAGTCGGCTCTTGCTGAAGTGCAAGTAAAAACAGAGAGGAAACGCCACAACTCCAAAGCCAGTCTCCTGGGACCCAGAGGGCCCGTCCTACCATGGGGGGGGGGGCTGGAAGGTCAGCAGCAGCAGGACATGCCAGGGAGAAGCAGCAAGGGGGGGCCAACGGAAACACAGCTGCAGGTGCTTTCCACTTCTGACCTGCCTCTCCCCTCCCCACCCACAACCCCCACCCCACTCCAAGGCTGGCCAGCAGCGACAGAAGATGATGCTGTCCCACTGCTGGCCATCTGCACCAGAGTGTCAAGGCTAGCCCAACTATCAGCCTTCTGTATCCGGGGATGGGGGGGGGAATTGCCTTCCCTCCCCATGCAGCAAAATCTCTTCAGCCCCCCCCCCTTCAAAGGCAGGCTCTTAATAGTATGCTTACCTTTGGGGAGGGGGGAAACGGTCATAAATTGATGTTTTCACCCCTTCTCCCTACCAAACTGCTACAACAATTTAAAAATCTATTACTTTAATTGCTGAATAACATTGTTTTAAAGCAATTATCAGCATTCTTCATTAATCTTATTCATTACTGGCAGCATCTGCACTGTCCAGTATTGGATTTTCTTTAATTAACGATTTTACAAATTAATTCTTCTCCTTGTTCCTCTCTTCCCAGGGGCAGGACGTCATCAAGGCCATTCTAACTT